GTTCCTCATTGTATCTACCCACACAATCTAAAGTTCAACGAATTACTTACAAAGATAAATACCACTTTGGCACTTTTTAAAACAATTAGGTACCTGAGTAGTTACAATTAGGGATCCTTATCGCTTACTTACAGCGATCTGTTCTAATTAACAATAGGATGGAGCGTGGGAACATTGTACATAATTAAATACCATAACGCCGTGGTATATAAGGACCAAACTCGAACAAATTCATCATTCGTTCGTCTGTCGCCATCAGTGAGTGACGTCGAGACTTATAAACCTACGATTTTTAAATATTGTTTATTAAAGTTTTCTCACAATGGGTTGCGACGGTGGTACAATCCCTCGACGAAAGGAACTCGTCAGGATGAAGAAGAAGCCAGAACAGGTATGTGTCTTCTTTAATCATAATAGTCAATAAGTAAATAGGTTTGCAATGATTTCACGTAAAATTATGTTTTTTATGGATTTGAGGTTGTGGTTTATTTTTACTTTTACTTATTCATTCTTCCTTTTACACTTACAGAAAGATAAAGATGCAGAACGGTCATTCAAGTGGCGTAACTGCGCTCTGTCCCAGCAACCTTTGCAAGAGCCTGTGGTGGCCTGTGGCCTCGGTAGGCTGTACAGCAAGAATCCTGTGCTTGAGGCGCTGGACGGGGAAACTAAGCCAGACTTCATTAGCCACATCGAAAGTTTAGAGGTATTGTGTACATTTTAACATTTTATTTTTAGTTACTGATAAAATACTGCCTCGTTGGCCGAGTTGTCGCAAGTGCGACTGCCGGGCAAGGGGTCTCGGGTTCGATTCCCGGGTCGGGCAAAGTATTACTGGGTTTTTTAAAAATCTCAGTAGTAGCACGGAGTCTGGAAATGTGCCCGGTATATGGCAATAGGCTCACCCCCTATTACATGGGACTCATAACATAAATAGTGAAAAGTGGGTGTTACTTCTATGTGCACCTCTGCCTACCCCTTCGGGGATAAAAGGCGTGATGTTATGTTACTGATAAAATAATCTTAATTAATGCTTAAAATAGATACTTGAAGTTCACTCACAATTTATCGTTATTATTCCTCAATAATTTATTAACTCCTAAATGATCCGGCCAACTTCGTACAGCCTAAAATTTTTTTCTTACCTTTTAAACCTAGCCTGGACTTCCGCGAACATTTCAAGACCAAAATTAGCCAAATTAGTTTAGCTGTTCTCGAGTTTTAGCGATACTATCGAACGGAAATCCATTTTGTATTTTCTTCTACCTTCTGCCAGCGGCTTCGCCCGCGATCCCAGGGGTAAAACGCCTATGTATTACTTCAGACCATAATCTAATTTTAATTTTACTGATTGCATTTTTGACATTAGTATCGATCACTAATCACCCCCCGATTCTTAGTTATTTTGGAAATATATTTCATGTATAGAATTGAACAGATAAGTGTAGATTGTGACTTGAGTGACTTAATTAATACCTATTCACATATTTTGTTATCTTCTATCTTCTTAAGATAATAATAACGACTTATTCATTTTTCAGGACATCAAAGACTTAAACCTGGTGAAAAACCCCGCATATACAGCTGCTGATCACACCCATGGCGACGTGGGTGTGGGCAATGCCCCCTACATCTGCCCCATCAGTGGACTGGAGATGTCCGGCAAGTTCCGCTTTGTGTTCCTCTGGAACTGCGGGTGTGTCCTCGCTGAGAGGGCACTTAAAGAAGTCAGACAGAATCACTGTCACATGGTAAGCTTTAAACCATGTTACTAATTTGACAAAACGAATAGATATAAGGATACTTCCTATGCACCCTAATGCAAAGAATTCTTCTCTTTTATTCCCTAAATTAGAGTACATAATTCAGTATAGAAGTAGATAAACTAATATTTTCATACTGCCTGAACAGTTACCAAAGTTGCTCCCTGTTCTTACTTGTTATCAAGTACAACATGTCTAATTTATTGTGTTTTGTCCTCAGTGTCAGCACCCATTCACAGACAATGATGTAGTACCACTTAATGGAACTGATGATGACATAAAAAAGTTAAAGGAAAAAATGGCTCTCAGACTTGCTAGCAGAAAAAGCTCTAAAGAAACAAAGACTGAAGAAACAACATTGAAGACAAATGTTAAGATAGAGCCGTTGACTCCCAGATCAGCCACATTTACAAAAGTTTCCACAGATGTAATAAAACCAGAGAACCAGAACATAAAACAAAGCGAATCAGGCCCTAGCTCGAGGACTGCAGTGAAGAAAGAAAAAATTAAAACAATACCATTGTCTCTGCCCAGGTATAATCCTAACCAGCACGCAAGGGGACATTTTGGATCTAGAAAGCGTGCCCACCCCACAGAACTAGCCCAAGACCCATCATATAAGAAAACCAAGAAAGAGTACAGTGTAGCTAAGGACCCTCAAAACAGTGAAGTGTTCAAGTCATTATTCACTTCACACCAAACTAATAAAAACCAGCAGAGGGCTCATTGGGTCACTTATAATCCTTTCTATAATTAATAAATTGTAGTCAGCACTGATTTTTTTATTGTTAAGTTGAAGATTTGTGCTGTAAATAGTGACGTAAATGTAAATATAGAATAGCTCTTGTGATGTTTGTGATACACAATTATGTATTTTAAGAAATATGTCATTCTGTATGTGTATCAAAAATGTATTTTAGATAAGTACCAATATTTAATAAATATTGTATAAATGAGGTAAAAATACTTTTTATTTAATTTACAAACCCTATGTGCCAAACTCTAGGTCGGTAGATTCACTAGATCAACTAAGTATCTAACTGTTAAATATTGCCATAACCACACTGCGGCGTTGCAACAAGCGGGGTGGTTGCTTAGAAAAATTGTATAAAAATGAACGCGTCATTGCAGTCCAAAGAACGAAACTTAATTTTGAAAATCAGTGTTTGTGCCAACCCGCAATGGGTAAGCGTGGTCCATTTTATTGAGACGAAGGCAAATAGATACTACATGCAAAGTTCAAAAATATGACCGTTGATTATATATTTTACGTAGGATTATATATTTTAGCAGTATCTGATATACGAATATATTTATCTCTATAATATATTTATTTATGAAGTTAATAACTGCCGACTGAAAACTTCACTAACGTCAGTAAACATTGATCGCGTTAGCATTATAAGGCATTATAATTATCATTGATCATCACTCTATAACTCTCACAGGTACCTACTTAAGGCTGATTGGCCATTTTAAACTTACAATTACACATTTTAAGTCCAATTTTCCTCGCGACGTTTTCTTCATCATAGCCATGTCAGTGGTGAATAAATAAATTATAATCTCAGCGCAAGTTGCATTGATACTTGCCAGGTTTCGAACCCACATACTCATGCACGATGCTTGAGAGCAAAACTACTTACAAATACCTAAGTAAGCATTTGAAATAAAAAAATGGATCAAAATTTAAAAACGTTTATTAAACTAAAAAATCATTTTTATACATATAGGATACATTACAATACAATTTAAATTACTTTTAATTTAATAACTATCGAAACACAATCATTCTTTTGCTTGAAGTTTGGAACAACTCTGCTACAAATTAATAACTTAAGCTAAACTAGAGTAATACGGTATCCATCTAGTGAGCTCCAAAGTGATAATTTAATTTAAAGGCATGAACAGTTTGGCCGAAAATGTACCACAAATGGCGTTAACGAAATTTTACATTAGATGCTTATGGCCAAGTAAACTTTCCAGTCTTAAGGTGTTACAGTAGCTCTTAAACCATTTACAAATAGGAACATATTTCTGAGTCTAAGAATCATGGAAAAAGATTATTTTTAAAATATACCTTTGTCATACAATTTATATCTAAAGCACCTAACTCTAACTACTATACATATATACCTACAATAATAACTGCCGACTGAAAACTTCACTAACGTCAGTAAACATTGATCGCGTTAGCATTATAAGGCATTATAATTATCATTGATCATCACTCTATAACTCTCACAGGTACCTACTTAAGGCTGATTGGCCATTTTAAACTTACAATTACACATTTTAAGTCCAATTTTCCTCGCGACGTTTTCTTCATCATAGCCATGTCAGTGGTGAATAAATAAATTATAATCTCAGCGCAAGTTGCATTGATACTTGCCAGGTTTCGAACCCACATACTCATGCACGATGCTTGAGAGCAAAACTACTTACAAATACCTAAGTAAGCATTTGAAATAAAAAAATGGATCAAAATTTAAAAACGTTTATTAAACTAAAAAATCATTTTTATACATATAGGATACATTACAATACAATTTAAATTACTTTTAATTTAATAACTATCGAAACACAATCATTCTTTTGCTTGAAGTTTGGAACAACTCTGCTACAAATTAAAAACTTAAGCTAAACTAGAGTAATACGGTATCCATCTAGTGAGCTCCAAAGTGATAATTTAATTTAAAGGCATGAACAGTTTGGCCGAAAATGTACCACAAATGGCGTTAACGAAATTTTACATTAGATGCTTATGGCCAAGTAAACTTTCCAGTCTGAAGGTGTTACAGTAGCTCTTAAACCATTTACAAATAGGAACATATTTCTGAGTCTAAGAATCATGGAAAAAGATTATTTTTAAAATATACCTTTGTCATACAATTTATATCTAAAGCACCTAACTCTAACTACTATACATATATACCTACAATAGCTTCGTATAGTTACAAAGTCCAGAAACTAAATGGTGACTCCTAGTTCTCTTGTGTATGATCTTCCTAGTTTCCAATCTTCACATTCCAGTTTCTTGTTGAACTTGGCGTTTTTGTCATTGATGTAGTAATCTGCATCATCAAAATACCCTCGACTTCTAGAGTAGCGAGCTCTGTTAACAATCTGCTCTTCCAGCAGGTCATTAACCATCTTGTCGATAGCTTCCTCTCGATCCTTGTGCATCTCATGAATGGTGACATTAGGTTTACTATGGAAAGCATCGCCATACTTCTGTTTCTCATACTGCTCCATACCAGCTGCTGGCATAATTTTAACCAACTTGTTGTGTTGTCTCACGGTAGCTTGTTCATATGTGGAGAATTCTTCATCAGAATTCCTTTTCTTCTTTTTACATTCAAGTCGCTCAGCTTCTACTGCTGATAATAAGTTTAATAAATTCACTCTGGCGTAATGTTTTTCTGCTTTCTCTGTATCTTGATGCTTTGTTTGGTCGTCGCGCAGCCATTCAGCTTGTCGTCCCTTGGCCTCGTAGTTCGGCGGCAGCTTATTCCTAGCCTGTTCAGCAACTACTTCATGTTGGTTGTGCGTCCTTGCTTGATTTCTAGCAGAGTGCAGCGATCGCAGTCTTTTGATGCGTTTTATTTGTCTCTCGACAAACGATATGTCCTTGGGGGCCGATGATGATCGTTCTACTTGCGAACTCATTGTTGTGTTGTTATAAAGAATGTTTTCAATGAAACAATATTTTGTCTCGCGTATACTAAAATGGTACGCGAGATTTTAAATTTTCTTCGACAATGTAACGCACAATAAACACTTCGACACACGTCTTCACTGGCTGACGAACAGTAAGATACTGATAGTCCCGAGCGACCAGCCGTTGCATTTTATCATCGCTCGCTACTTGTCGGTGACTCATCCATAAAAAGTTTGTGGTATTTTAGTTCTAACAATTGCTAATTACGTCTATTGTTACTTGTGTGTGAACAGGATGAGAGACTATAGGGGCATTATTGAATTTGACATTCAAGTGTAGTCAAGACTAAAAAGTTTGGTTCGAGCTGGACCCGTTCTGATTTAGTTTCAAATAGTCATAAAACTTGTATCTGCTTCAGTTTACACCCTCGCGTCTCACTCAGGAACACCTCTGCTACGAATGCTACGATATGCCGTAGCACCGTAGATGCGGCGTAGCAATTGCTACAAATTATGCAACTAGTAGCTGTAAGGTCATGCTTCAATAGCTGCGTACTGAAACGGCGGATGTTAATATAGAATTATCTATTTCTGGCATAAGTTCTGTTTAAATTTGAATTAAGAATGGTTTTACTAATTTCGTCAATAACAAATCAAAAATATTATATATATATATATATAAAATTATAAACTTTATTTAATAAACACGATAGGTTTTTTAAATAAAGTTAAACGGAATAGTAGGCGGCCTTATTATTTATACTGTCAACGTGGAGTTTTTGACAACGTTTTCTGATAAATGACTCCTTTACAAGAATCAAGTTTACAGTAATTCCTATGCCATCGTAGCTCACGACTCATCATAGCCTTCATAGCAGACGTGTAGTTGAGACGTGTACCGGTGTAAACCGAATCATAAAAAGCACACAAGGAACAATAGATGTAATTAGCAATTCTTAGAACTAAAAGCCCATAAACCGTTCACGGATGAGTCATCAACAAGTAGCAAGCGACGACAATACAACGGCTGGTCGCTCGGTAGTGTCAGTACCCTACTGCTCGTCAACCCGTGAAGACGTGTGTCGAGGCGTTTTAGTATATCTATTGTGTCGAAAGAAAAGTTAAAAGTTTCGTGTACTATTTTAATATACCAAAACTGCGGGTAACACAATGAGTGCCACAACTGAAGAATCTACATCGGCCCCTAAAGAGATGTCGTTTGTTGAGAGACAGATGGTTCGCATGAAAAGATTGCGATCACTGCACACTGCTAGAAACGAAGCAAGGACACACAACCATCAAGAAGTAGTTGCTGAGGAGGCCAGGAATAAGCTGCCGCCGAACTACGAGGCGAAGCGACGACAAGCTGAATGGCTGCTCGACGACCAAGCAAAGCGTCAAGAGGCAGAGAAAGCAGGGAAAGATTACGACAGAGTGAAACTATTAAACATATCAGCAGTAGAGGCTGAGCGACTTGAACGTAAAAAGAAGAAGAAGAATCCTGATGAAGGATTCTCTTCATATGAACAAGCAACCGTGAGGCAATACAACAGGCTGGTTAAAAATATGCCAGCAGCTGATATGGAACAGTATGAGAAACAGAAACAGAAGTATGGCGATGCTTTCTATGGTGGACCTAATGTTATCATTCATGGGATGCATGAGGACCGGAGAGAAGCTGTCGACAAGATGGTTGATGACCTGGAAGGGCAGATTGCCAAGAGAGCTCGTTACTCTAGGAGACGTGCACACAATGACGATGCAGATATTGATTACATTAACCAGAGAAATGCTAATTTCAACAAGAAACTGGAGAGATTTTACGGAGAGCATACAGCTGAAATTAAACAGAACTTGGAGCGTGGAACTGCCATATAGTTATTGTAAGCTGAAACTATTTGTCCAAAGCTGTTGTACCTTATAGTACAGTTAGTTGTAGTGGTTTGGGGGCTAATTTTATGATTATTATCATCAACAGCCTATAAATGCCCACTGCTGAGCAAAGCCTCTTCTCACACGGAGAAGGTTAGAGCATTAATCACCACGCTTGCTCAATGCGGGTTGGCGATTTCAAACTTATAATTATAAATTATAAGTCCAGGTTTCCTCACGATGTTTTTCCTTCACCGTTTGTCAGTGGTGTCTAAATAATCTTAGAAAGTACATATAACTCGGAAAAAGTCACATTGGTACTTGCCGTTGGTAGGTTTCGAACCCGCACCCTCATGCATGAGAAGTGGGCGTCTTAAACCTCCGGGCCACCACGGCATATGATTATTATATTTTAGACTAAATCATAGTTAATAGGGTAGACGACTAATTTTTATTTTAATGTCCGTCTGATAGATTATTTAAAAACATTAGACACGTATTTTTTATTTTCTCACAGAAACGAATAGTTTCGAAGATATATTGATTTGAAATGTCGCGTGACGTCACTTCTCAGTACATTTTATACTAAGAAATGACGTTTTAGCCCCCACTCCTAAACTTTGATTCGTTTTATCTAAGTATTGTTTTATTATACGACAAAATAAAAAAATACGTGTCTAATATTTTTTCATTACCTAACTTACGGACTAATTATATTTTTAATTTTCATACCCTGTCATCATCCCCATTGTGATGTAATTGTTAATGTTTATAATTATGAGCCTCTAACATGGCTTGAAACTAGTCGAGTTCCTCGTCAAACAGTTACGTAAGTAAGCCGAAAACATAATAATATGTAATTGTTAATGTTGTATAGAGATACTGTGACTCCATAAGAGTGTGGAAACTTTATTCTAACTTTATTGTCAGCTTTCGTAATTTTTTTATAGTTTCATATTTTAAAACTCGGTAAATATGAAATGCTTATATTAAATTCATTTTGGAGTAGATTGTATGTTAATATAGTTCAGTTTTAGTTCTTAGTGCTAAGTATCACCTGTAAGGGTAAGAATGTATCAGAGTTGTTACAAAGGTTTATTCCAATTTGTTTACCTGGGTGATACAACTCAAGCCATTGAATTTTGTTTTTCATATAAATTAATTGCTTTTTATATCCTGTGTCTTAAAAATATATTTAAGGTTCAATAAATGTTGTGTCAAAGTGTAAAATATTTCTTTTATTTCTATTACCTGAGTTGTTGAGTTTTAATTTTGAAAGAAAGAAAAGTAACTGTACTTAATTGTCATCATTTTTTTTTATATTTGTTGGGTCGACGTTTGACCACTATCTCGCCTGGTGGTAAGCGATGATGCGGTCCACGATGGATCACGTCGTCCCATAAGCAACCTATTCATTGGGGCCTTTAAGACACCCAGGTCAAACCCTTCAGGTAATACAGACTCTGGCAAAGAAATCAACTCCTTAGCAGTACGCACAAGGAAGCTTGATGCGAAGCGCTTCGTGCGTGTGGACCACGTGTGTTACCATGAATCGGTGACGCTTCGCTGATTGTCTTGTGGTACGATGATAAAAAGACTAGGGGGAATCAAGTTGTGCAATTCTCCCACACACTCACCAAAATGTATCCGGTAGAAAACTTTTCGGTTTTCGGCTTGCAACCTTAGTATTTACTGGCAGGCACAAATTTAATTTGGATAATTCCTTTGCGCTTGCGAATATTCTTTTTGAAAAGCTACTGTTTCCAGCGAACATTACATAATAAGGTCACCTTATTAATCACTAAGAGGTAGGTAGAGTTGCGAAGGCATTATATACTTCGTGTTGGTATTCAGTAAGTCAGTATAACAGTGTGAAACCCACTTTTAACAGTTAGGTATGTTATGGATTCCATCAAGTTCCTCGCAATAAGTACAGATACTTCGGTCCTAGGTACTATTACTGAGAAATATATAACGTCAGCCCGATTCGGTTATCCTTGAAAAGTTTAACCGACTCTTACCTACACGCGTGAGACCATAAATGTAAATTGATATTTCTGTGTGTAAGACGATTATGAGCCGTAATAAGTATATTCTAAGTACTACTCTGCTACTCAGACCTAGGTAGGTACATGTATAGAACAGGGCATATGAAGGTAAATTGATTGAGCCTAAGACTAAATACTAAAATGGAAATAATTAGAGCCGATCTCTTTGTACCTACCGTATTATATCCTACGGTATCTTTTAGTAAAATCGTAATTATTATGCATGATATCTGATTAGCAGGCGTAGCGTGGCCTCCTTTGGTTTTTTTGCTGAAACCTGTGAAAAGTTCACCTACATTTGTTTTATCAGTAATGTACGGAGTGTAAAGAGAAGGCTTCCAAAAAATATGATGAATAATACCTACAGTTAAAAATAAAATATGGCTGATGATCAATGATATAATATATATAATGTATATCGTGGGCTCGAGCCTCTGTGCCCGGTCCACGGTATTAAGCTGAGCTCCAGCCTTTTGCGCTGCGACGCACCATAGGCTTTTTTTGTGTTTCTAAATTCTTGTTGTGTGTTGTAGCAAAATAAATAGTTTTTCTTTCTTTCTTTCTATAATGCTAACGGTATCAATGCTGACTGACGTTAGTGAAGTTTTCAGTCGGAAGTTATTAACTTCATAAATAAATATATCAGATACTCCGTATATCAGATTCTACTAAATTTTAAAATCCTACGATCAACGGTCATATTTTCGAACTTTGCATTCTAGTATCTATTTGCCTTCGTACATATTTTGGTTCTTCATTTTGCCATTTACTGTTCCACGAATTACTTACAAAGACAAATATCATTGTTTCATTTTTTAGACAATGCTACCAGTAGTCATCCTTATCTTTTGATTCTTCATTTTACCATTTAATGTTCCACGAATTACTAACAAAGACAAATATCATTGTTTCATTTTTTAGACAATGCTAACAATAGTCATCGTTATCTTTTGATTCTTCATTTTACCATTTAATGTTCCACGAATTACTTACAAAGACAAATATCATTGTTTCATTTTTTAGACAATGCTAACTGTAGTCATCCTTATCACTTACCTCCAGCGATCTATTCCAGTTAACATTAGGATG